ATATTATTGGTATTAATGTACTTTTTTTTTTTTTTTTTTGTATAAAGTGCAAACATTTCGTCCCAAAGTCTAAGTACTTTAGTGCAGTAAAATGTTGTTTCACGTCCTGTCAAGAATTCGTATAGTACGAGCCTGGATCTGCGTGTCAAACTGTTCCATTTGTTTATGTAAAGTGATATTAAAAAACAAAGATATAAACTGTATCTGTCCGTTGCTTTTGGCAAAAATTACAAGCACATACTGTATATAATTCCCAGTTTCCATATTTATCCGCATGTAAAGGGCCGTTTTATCCATGTTACAGATATTCAGTATTTATGGCTAGAAGAACTCGTATGTACACTTTAGTTTCCAGAACTGTTCGGTAACCTTTCGTACCTTATTAAAGATTCTTAAATCTCAGAGATTGTGGTAGGAATTTCTTCTTCACCCCCAGCAACCTGCTGCCTCTTCCGCCAGCCTTCCTGGGTCTCCTGAAAAGCTCTCCAGTCTCCCTCGCCTTCTTTTTCTGTCATCGCAGGTCATATAAACGTGATAAATGAACGCTACCCTGCTGGCTTTCCGAGAGGGTGTAATTAGTATTTATATCAAAATTTATGAAACAAATTTTCGGCCGCAGTATAATTTAAATGACCTTTGCAGACGTAGAATAACAACCATAAAAATAACAGAAATAGATTGCATAGGCGACATCAATATTAATGTAGGCGAATTGTCAGAAGCTCAGGGACTGGCTAGACAGCGTCGCAAATGAACTTGCAGCGGAGGGTTCTGCTGCCACCCCCACCCCCCAAATTAAATTCCCCGGGCTGAAACCGAGTTGCAGATTTACAAGATCATATTTTAAATTGCTGTCTTCAATTAAACCCTTTATGGCCATAACTAATTTTCTGGATGTCGATGCATGCTTTCCCAGGCCTGCCTTCTTTGTACAAAAGTAAACGTCCAAAAAGCGTTTTACTTATATTTCTTCAAACGTGATGCTAATTTAAATTAATTACTTCCTATGATATGTTATTATTCCTATAATTTTGCCACCGTTATTAGTTCTCTCAAAAATACATCTAGGGAAGGGAATTATTTTATGTAATTTGATTATCTTTCTATCTCTTTTATTTATTTCTCATTTACTTAAGAAATTCGTTCCATTGGCTGGCGTTGATACAGTAAATTTGTAAATGAGGAGACAATATAAAAAATCTAAATTACTTGTGCTTAATGACTGTAGCAGAACGCCTTTTCTCTAAATCAGATTGTCTTTCTTGCAGTTTAGTTTGATAGATTTGCAAGCTATGCTGCTCCCGCCAAGTTAGCTGTGCTGGTAGGAAGGCGGGCTTCTTTGTCTCTGGCTGGAGCTTGCATGATCGCCCCATTAGGCAGACAACGTAGCCGGAGATCACAAATCAGGCCCTTGGCTGTAGCTGCAAGGGTGTGGATGTATCAGAGAGGGATCGCAGAAACTGACCTCACTGTGGGCAAGAGGAACCTGGAGCTGCTTTAATATACTATGGGTGCTCAGGAAGTGATGCACTGTTATTAACTTTGAGAAGGAAAAAAAAAAAAGAGGTGAAATCCTTCAGAAGTGTCCTTAAGACACTGATCTGTTGTAAAGTGAAATTAATTTTGCAGGGCATACCATTGGGCAATTACAAAATCAAATATTTAAAGTCTAAACAATCCTTTCGTTGACTTGTGATTTTCATCTTTGGCTATCTGTATTTGTCACTTTTTAGTCAAGGGAGTCTTCCTCACCGAGGAAGGAATTTGCTGCACTTTCTGTAGCTCGTTGGAAACTGTGATGATGATGGTGTTTAACTTTTGAAAGAATGTTATTCTAAGAGTAATATCGGCCTCTCATGAAAAGAGCGCCACCTTGCAAGGTTTGGAGAGTTAAGGAAGCTGGAAATCACTGGCACCTGAAAACAAATTACTGCTCGCTCGAACACTTGTGAGACCCAAAGCTAGCCCCAGTTGGTTCTGGAGGTTTGAAATTAATCAACAGTGTAGTATTTGAAGTGATTCCAGACATTGGGTTCAATAATTAACACAAGTAGAATCCAGAAAAAAAAAAAAAAAGCTGAAAGATAACACCTCAATTAATAATCCTTCTCCTTTCCATTAGAGAACCTGATATGAGTATAATGATAATCATAATAATAGTACTTTTATAACTTTGCCAGTGCATTTAAGAAGAGTGTAACTCAGGGAATGTTTAATATTCCTTGATCATAAGTAAAAGCAGTTTACTTCAAATTTGGAACTATAAATGTCTCATTATTTGTTGTGTACCTGGTACTCATATTTTGGCTTTAATATCATAGATAATAATTAAATATCACACTGTGAGATTTTGATATAAGCAGGATATTGTTAAAAAATCAATTTTAGGGGAAATGTTTACTTCAAATCAACTTCATCTTTTAAATATTTTCTTTAGACTTTGAAAGCCAAATAATTTTTAAAAGCCCATTTGAGGATTGTGATGGGAACGAGGAATCTACTTTATATTTCAACATTTTCTTTGCACTTTGAAGCCTAAATCATTTTTTAAACTCCATTTGAGGAATCATCTCACTTGCAGGAAAGGAACTTTTATGGTATAAGCCAACATCTATGCCAATTCCCCTTCTTCATTCTCTCCCCCAACACCCATCACAAAGCAAAAGTCATTAATGATGTAGGTCGCCTAAAATAATGCTTCAGACTTAAATGCAGTCTATTATTTTGCTCGTACCTTTAAAGTCTGCTTCTTGAAATGTATTCTTCATACTTTTCTTCATGGGCTATTAGGTTTTGAAATACATGAATGTGAACAGCGAAATATATTGTTAGACCCTATTTAGCAGGAGCTGAAGACACTGCAAATAGTTGGTTTCTACGTGTAGCTGTGGATTCTGATTTCGGCAGAAAGCCGTCTTGGTTCATATTGTGACTGCATTGTATTCTGGGTACTATCAAATGATTCGAACAGCTAGCAAATTATTAAAAAGTTATATTGTGTCAACAGAAAATGCCTAAGTACAAGCAATCATATTTGAGAAATGAAGAGAAATGAGTTGTGGGGTGTGTGTGTACATTTATGGAGCAGGCGTATAAATACACAAGCACCATTTATATTGGGGCTAAGTAATTTTCAAACATTTCAGAGCCTTTGTTTTCTTCTTCAAAAGCTACCCCCAACTGCTTTAAGCATTTGCAGCTGATGATTTTGATTTTTTAAAGTCAAGCATTCAAGTTAACCTTTAAAGCAAACCACCTCCAAAAGAAAGATGTAACCTTTCAATTGCCCCATCTGCTTATCATTTTTTTTTTTTTTTTTTTGCTTTCACTGACAATGAAAATAGCACTAACCTTCTTTGCTGATGGGCTTGGCATTTAGATGTTTTTATTTGTGGATTGTGAAGTTTCCTCAGAACTTTTAAAGTGTTGGCAACAGAACTGCACTCCCCAAATACCTCATTCAGTCTCAAAACCTCCCGGATGGTCACTTTTTGAGGCCGCCAAGGTATAGTCAAGGTCCTGGATGCTTAGTGAGTCCATGCTGGTGGAGCTGTTACCTAAGCAAACTGCTTTCCAGGAAGTGACCTGAAGAAGGCCCTGGGCCTTAAAGGGCAGCATCAGTTTAAGAAGGGTTGGGAGTGATTGTCTGTGGTGTGGCACACTCAAAAGGAAGGTATTAGGCTTCTGTTCTTGATTGTTTATCCACTAGATATGAAGCTATCAGATTTGACACATTTCCAACGTACATTTCTTTTTTCCAACTTAAAATACTAATTACAAAATTATCTCCTCTCTAGGCACAGAGTTCTCGCCTCCTCCTAGCATCGGGAATAGGTGTTCACATTAGAAAGAAGAAGACGACCAAAAAAGGCGTTTTCATAAAGATCGTCACAGTTGATATCACTCCCTTTGGTTTTAGAATTCTTGAAAACAGGGTGGCAATGGAAAGATTTATCCCATCTATGCCAGTCAGCCCACTGAAGTTTCACCTTATGAGTGGTGCTTTTTCAGCTTTTTACCATGCTATCCGTCGTCTGTAATATGGACCCATTTAAACTAGTCAGATAAAGAAATTAAGCTTTTATAGAGTAGTAGTCATACAGCAATTATATTTTCATGTGCTAATCACTCTTTTGGGGCAACAAATAAGAAAACAGTGTTAGTAACTTCCTATAACATGTCACATTTGAACCTCTCAAAGTTTATTGCAGATGTAATGGTGTGATGTGCACAAAATATGGGCAATGTTCTCCACTAATCTATGCAAGGCTAGCTTGCTCCAGAGTCTCCCCCTGAGCAACAGGAAACAGGATCAGGCCAAACCAGGGGCTATTTTTGCCGTGCAAGCTGGAATCTGTCATCGGTTCCTCACCTTGATTTCCACTTCAGAGAGGCGAGTTAAAACAGTATGAAGTTCCCCATTGATGCTATACAGGAGACGGGGTTTTCAAGAAGAAAT